AAAAGACGTTTTCAAGACTTGATGATGTTTTTTGAAGGGCTTCTTAGGCTTATCTTGCATTTTGGGCCACAAAGAGCTGTAGAACACGATTATGAGGAAGGTAGGTTTCAACAGGAACCTATAATAAGCTTGATGGTCGAGCCGTGTTGTTTCTATCCGATTTGAAAAACCGGGACCGATAAAAAGTACCAAATCTTGAAAAAAACATCGAATCAGCAATTTGAGCAATTCTTGACCATTTATCTACACAATCCAACCGTCTTCTTAACTTTTTAACTTTAAATAGCTCAAAAGTGACCCGTTATTTAACTATGTGCTGCACAAAATAAATGACTGAAAATCTGAATTTTGGAGGCCAAGTATGGTAGTTTTCGATATCCAAAGGACTCTTTTGGGGGAACGATTCAGCGTGATTTGATAAAATTTTAAAGTTGGATAGAATGCGCTCATACAGCGGTGTAGTCAATTAGCCGAAAACTGTTCACATAAACACGCGCGCGATCTCATTGTTTCGCATTTTACGTCCAATCGGCAGTTTATTTAACATAATATCCTCTTACCCTCGATGGTTTTGTTTCGAAGAGGGCTACAGTCCTGAAATTGTTGCATCGTTCACATAAAAGCAAAATAATTTGGCAGGCTTCCGAGACTTCCCGCTCAGGATTATATTAATTGCGTTGCAGTATGTAGTCTTGTGCAAATAAATTCTTCTTGATAACGACTCCTGATCATACTTTTACAAAGCGTACTTCGAGGTTTTTGATTTGCTCTATTCCCATTTTGTTGAAAAGGAGGCTATAATTACTTCGCGTAAAATATATCTGCTTAGATATTAGTATAAAACCGAATTGCGAACCAAATGTAAGCGAAATGTTGCTAGTTCAGAAACATATGTTTCTCGTTTGCATGCGGAATAACGCTAATTAATTCAAAAAGAGGTCTACTGAAACACTTGGGGACTTAGGTCGAGATTTAGATATATTAAAAAAAATAACAATGTTTTTACAACCAACCTGCGTGTGCTGAGTTTGGCTGACTCCGGTAGCAATATAGTGCTCAAATTGGATGAACTTTTACTTTATAGAGAGGTTCCCAGTGCCATGTACAGAACCAAACGATCCCCGGTTCATAGACAGATTGTTGGAAGGTGAGCAATTCTTTTTAGTATAGTTAGTCTCGTGATTATTCTCTTTCGGGAAATTAAAAATTGACATTATTTTGTTATCAGAATCGATACTCCAAGGAAATAAACGTCCAAATACACGGATGAACGGATTTATCGATTTGATAATTAATCGTTTCCATCATCAATTTCGTCTTCATTGATATTTATGTATTAATTCATTTACCTATTTATCTGTTGACTCTAAATTTCTCCTGTAATTTCGACGGTCTTAGTAAGTTGCTGACGAAATTTTGACGGCATTAGTAATTACAGAGGCGGAACCAGCCGCAGCTTTAGTTTCTCACGCCGTCTTATCTACAAGAGGCGTGAAGGCTTTGTCGAGGTAACTGGATGACTTAGTTTATCTGTGACATTCAGACAATATCTAAATATGTCAGTGAAAAAACCAATGTATTTACATATAATTGCGCCAAATGTGCCAAGTTTGGCTGACTCTGGTAATATAGTGCTCAATATAGAGCTTAATTCGGATGAATTTTTTCTCTATAGAGAGGTTCCCAGTGCAATGTTCAGAACCAAACGATCCCCGGTTCATAGACGGATTGTTGGAAGGTGAGCAATTGTTTCTTGCATAGTTAGTCTTGTGATCATTCTCTTTCAGGACATTATAAATCGACATATTTATTTATTAATTCAGTTACCTATTTATCTCTCGACTCTAAATTTCTCCCGTAATTTCGACGGCTTTAGTGAGTTCTGCCGAAATTTTGACGGTATTAGTAAATAGAGAGGCAGAACGAGCCGCGGCAGTAGTACTTCACTCGGCTTTAACGAAACGAGCCATGAAGGACTTTGTTAAGGTAACTGCATGATTCAGTTTATCTACGACACGCAGACAATAAGAGGAACTCAACTTTGAAAAGTCGGCAACGGTTTAATCGTTGAGGGGTAAGTTTCTGAAGAAACTGTGGTGCTACGTCGGTATCAGCTGTCTGCAATGCCACGGTTTAATTTTCGTTGTTTATCTAGTCAAGTGCAACCGAAACAAAACAAAGCTCTTGAAAAAGACTGAAACTGAAACCAAGCTGAATGTTTCCTCGTTCGCATGATTCATACTTCCATTGCAATCTAGGGGCGCTGGTCCAAAGATGTTTACTCGAAAGTAGACAAACGCTAAAAACTCAAAAACATGTACTTGAAGCGAGTTGATAGGCGACAGAAAATAGTATTTAGATCTGGATACATTCAACAAGTGGAGCCGTCAAAGAAAATAATTTGAGCAATAGTCTTGTTGGTATTCTCTTGGAAGGAAAGATCCCTTCGCGGTGGGTTGCATCCTCATCGAGTCCTATGTGTTTACACTGGAAAGTTTAAGAAATGCTCTGTTAATAGATATCTCTTTGGACTCTTTGAATTTAGTAGAGAGATTGACAAGTTGGAGTTTTTCTGGTGTTTAGCACGTTCTTAACTCCTTTTCATAAAATTGTGAGTTTTAACGTCCAGTTTAAAACGATAGATAAAAACCACCATTATCACTAACGTCTGGTTTATACGTTAGCGTGCGTTCATCGAGATATGAAACACTTGGAAAGTTTGGAGAGCACGTCGGAAGATGCGTAAGGATTGTTTGAGGCAGCCTAGAGCAACCAACTCGAGCTTTTGTGAGTCACTGATCCGAGTTGTTGGTTCTCCAAGTTCTTCGATCCTGTTCTTTGACGTCTAATCCAACCTGGAGCTCACTGAATAGGTTACCGAGAAAGACTTCAATGCCCTTCTCAGACCAAGCGCGGGCAACAAAGCAATAGATATATATTTAAAAAAACCCTTGTAGCTTCGGGAATTTGCCGGAAGGGCCCCAGCAATAAACAGCATGCCTTTACACGGGCCTCTCCTTTTACGCGGATTTATAACTGTTCATCATTTCGTCTTTCAGACAAATTCCCAGTCCGCTGCACAGATCGCGACTCTGGTGACGACGACTTCATTTGATCAAGATGGACGAAGAAACCAGCTGGGGGGAATATTTTTTTCACTTAGTTTACAAACCAATTTTCTGATAACATAGACTAACTGCGCAAACACTTTGAGTAGTTCTTTATCACTGAGTTAATTCTTTGATGCCTTGGAGGCCATTGTGGTGTAACTTTCTTTTTGCTCCTGTCCGTGAACTATACACCAAATTCAGGAACATTCTTAGTGTCAAGTACTGTAAATTCGCATTATAACATAGCTAGTAACTTTGTCTAATCAAATTCAATTGCGCGAGCGTGCTTCATATTCCTATTGTGCACTCTCATGACGTCAGCAAACAAATCCCTCGAGAAAAAAATTTTCCTTCGGGTTGAAAATGTTATAAAACAGTTGGTTCATACGTCAGCTGTGCGTTCATTGAGACATGAAGCACTTGGGAAGTTTGGAGAGCACTCAAGAAGCTAGAGTTGCTCTCGGCTACGCCTCGAGCAACTCTTACGCATCTTTCGTGCTCTCCAAACTTCCCACGTGCTTCATATCTCGATGAATGCACAGCTGACGCATGAACCAATTGTTAATTATATTTAGGCAAAAGTATGACTAGAAAAAGCAGCACAGAAACGACTGCAACACTGCTGTTATTAAGAATGTCCCCTTGGTAGGATATGGATGCAGGGTAAACCTGCAACTTAAAAACTTAAAATTTAATTTAATTTAATTAGAATTAAATTACCATTAAGATGGGTACCACAGTTTGACTGTTTTGTGTAACCTTCAACATAGCTTATTATCCCCATAAATTGGGACTTAAAAAGTTAAAAGTAAAGTTTATGTATACATCATATGATAATTTGTGGTGGAACTTTGTAAACGCTCTACACATTCATTTACTTCTATATATACCCGAAGAAAACATCAAAAGTTGACCTGATATTCATTTCATCGGATCGCTATTGATTATTTCAACGCCGAAAAAAGGCAACCTTACTGCACGTACAAACCCGATGCATGCAGATGTTAGTGATATCATTTAATGGTCAGCAGTTGAATGCTCCTAAAATCTCAGTTCGAACATGAAACACTGCAGTGCATTAGTATGACCTATTCAGATGTACACTGGTTCGGCTAGGTTGTTGTAAATTCCCTTCTGTAGGCTAGATAAGAACCATAGTGACCAAAGTGTTGATACTGAACGATACAAAGGCGTTGTCTTGATGACGAGTCCATAGCAGTATTTTGCTGTGCGCGTAAAGTAAGTTTTCAACAATGGGAAAAAAATTATTTTCACATCAAAAGATCAGGGCATTTCTGTTGAACTTGTCCAATAGCTGATTGAACTTTCAAAACCAGCCATGCAACAATTCAAGAGGACTCCGTTCTCACTTCTTGTTGACGAACTGAATTTGTACATAAGACAGTGCGGATACTAAGCGAAGTCGATACATAACTAACTCCCGAACATTTCTGAGAAGCAATTAATTTCAAACCAGCTGATAACATCACAGAAGCTGAAGAAATCCTATCGAACAATTACCCGCCCAATCGAATTGCACCTGCATTCGTACGTTCAGCGGATACCTATCGCAAAGCCTTAGTGGACGAGCTAGTATCAGGGGTCAGACCATCAAGTCAAGCTGACGATTTCAAATCATCCTGAGTCGAAGAGCACTGAGCTGACGGCTCTCAAGATTTTTGGAGTGAGATTTTAACCTCAGATTTTCAGCTCAGAAATTAAAGAAAAACCATGATTGTTGCGGTCAGTACATCCAGTTAGACCACACTGGGTTCGTAACACCGCAACAAAAAGAAACAGAATAATGTTATGCACCACTGGTGTTTAAAGAAACAAATAAAAGAAACAATCCCTTCTAATACAACAATTGATATTAAGGTATTAAATACACAAAATATAGCCCAGATAGCTTCATTCGCGGAATGATTTTGCATTTTAATGTTGCCATGACTCCCTGTCCTCAAACAAAAGTGAAATAAGTCAACAAAAAATTATTATTGTTGACAAATTATACTACTATAACATATATAAATACTATCTCTGTTAAATGCTTAAGTCTCATTTCTTCAGTCTCATAGAGTCTTGGATCCATGGCAAGGAAAAAAATGCTCACAAAATAGCAGTTAGGTAATGATATATCAGATAAACACGAAGAAATTCTTCCTTTATATGTTAACATTAATATATCGTCTTGTCTCCTTTCTTCACCCCTGGTTTGGAAGGGTTCGGCCTAAGGAGAAAGGGTTTCGTTAATTCTTGCTAATAAATTCAAAAAATTTTTACAGACACTTGCCTTCACAATGGCATAGAAATACACTTATTAATATGTTATAAATGTACCAAGTGATCACTGTTTTCCATGTACATAATCCCGTAGGTTTTTTATTTAACCTAATATCAAATTGACAGCATTCCATTTCTCTTTCTGCATTTAATTTCATATTTATGACTAAAATGAAACTGGTCTTGCAGTTTAAGACCTAAACCTTATCTCAATTTTTTAACTGATTTCTGTTCAAAATTGTCCTCACTTCAACACTGTAGCTTTAATCAGTTCATTTTTTTAAATAACTTTCACCAGAAAAGTGTGTGCCATATCAAAATAATCTCTTTAACTGTCTCTTCTAGCAATTCATTTGCTAAATCATATTCCTGGTCTTCTCTATTGATAGAATAAACACAAAATGCACTTGTAAAATACCTTTTCTTGCTGTCAGGGTTAGCCGGCTGAAAAACACTTGAGGCTGACATTAAATTTTCAATGTACTGTCCAAGTACCTATTAAATATTGTTGAAATGTAACATGTAACAGAACTAAATTTCTACTGACTTACATGTGTCAATAGATTGAAACGCCTTGAAAATACAAAAAAACCGAGAAGGATTTTAGGTATACCTTGCAAGAACTCTATCAAAACACATTTAATTGTTTGATAAACAAAAATGATGTGTGACAATTTGATTTAACACAAATCCTCAGATTATAATTCATATTATATATTAATCAAATATATTTTTTATCAGTATTAAGAAGTTCTCTTGACATCACACACATTTGTATGGTGAAAAGAGGACTTTAGTTAAATGGATCATCATGGCACCTGCATAGGTAGCCACTCTGAAAGTAGTTACAAGACTATGAATAATGCCTTATGATTCAAAAACAACAATAGAGATGAGAAGCAAACAAACAGATTTTAAAAAGTCCAATAAAAATAAAACAAATTCAGAATCATACTTTTCTAGTTATTTGACAGATCAATTTGCCTCATACCTGGTTTTCTGATTTAAGCTTCAGGTTTTCATCCTTTACAGCATCTACTCTCTGGGATAAATCTGGAAAAAAATTCCATATCATTTTCAAATAATCACAAAAACCTTTGGCTAGCAAGTCATTAGACAAAACTCTCTCTTGAACTGACCTTCTAAAGTTTATTTGAGTCAAATCATTTATTATTAAAAAACTTGTTGACCGAGCCAAAACTAGAGGCATCGTGTCACTTCAATCTAAAGCTACCTTGTGAAACTGAACAGAACAGAATCTTCCCCTCTAGCCTGGGATTATTGCGGCAGTGACAATTGCCCTTACCCAACTTCAATCTCCATTGCCAAAATAATATTTCAGGGTATTTGTGCTTTATATTTTTCACAAGAAATCATACATAATTTCGGTCAACCCAAACAATTCTTACTATTTATTTTGTCATGAATGGAAAGCCTACACATATTTTGAAACAGAGAAACAAAAAGAAAAAAAATATTAGAAAAATTAAAGGATGTCATGGGTAACAATAATTAAAAAACCATGACAATACAAAAAGTCCTCTGAACCTTGGATTTCTTGAGTACTATAGTTAGTAAGACCACTTCCAATATAATTCCCCATCACCTTAAAAGAAGTTCCCTGTTCTTCCAAACATGTAAGTACAAATTTATTTATATTCCTGGAAGAAGAGGGGCATTTGGGCAATCCTTGTGGCAAATGTGTAATTTTCTTAAATATCTAACAGTTAGGTCTTACATTGCTGAACACTAATTCTTTTCGTTTTTACATGTATCATTTCCAAACCATTATTTTCATGCTTTAAACAACTAATTTACTTTTGTGTCCTTGTAAACCTTTTTCCTATAAGTGGTTCATGTCTAATATATTCCCTCAGCATTTGGTAATTTTTCATCTCATGGCATCTTTGCATTTATTTTTCCTATATTATATGTTAGTATAGTTTTGTAAAAGTCCTTTTCTTTTGCTCCTTAGGAATTTACTTCTTCTTCATCTGTATTAAAGAGTAGTTAAATTGAATGCTGAATAAACACCTTTGATTTATGTGGGACCATGCCTCTTCCACAGTGATATAAAGGACCCCACTAAGGCTCTTAACAGGACCAACTGATCTTTCCTCCTCGTGGAAGTTTGCATGTCCCTCATTTGAAAGACTCAACAAAAACTTTTTGTGTATGCATGGCACTCAAACTCACCATCAAGAGTGTTTTGAAGCTCAAGTACTTGACTAATAAGGCGCTTTTTCTCATCTGCTTCATTTTCTTCGTCCTCTGTTACATCATCTAGAATGAGAATTGAAATAATGCTGTCTAGATGACTACATACAATTTAGAAAAGGGAAAAAAAATTACTAAACACTGGTACATCTACACAAGTCGGTCAAAGTCACATTTACTGATTGAATTCTTAACCCTTTGGTAATTTAGTAATTCTCTTTACTGTCTGCCTATAGTTCTTGTGATGTTAATTTGGAGAATTTGGTATTGGATCAACTAGTAATCGCCAAATTGATATTTTTCTTTTTTCTCATCACTTGTCTGGTTGATAGTACAGTGGAAAGTAAGGGGAAATTATTCTTGATCACTCATGGGAGTTAAAAGGTTAAGAGTGGCTAGTATCTAACTTCTCCTAAGAGTAATACTGCTGAATCGTTCGTTAAGATCATGAGATAACAATAGAGAATATAGAATACTGATGTTAGGGTGTAATTAGGGTTAAACTGAAAAGGGTTGAAGATTGGAATAGACAAACAAATTTCAGTGGGAAGCTTAAATACTGATAGAACTTTGAGGCAACACCAGTACCAGTTTGAGGACATTAAGTCCCACAATTTCCAAAGCTAGAACTTTCAAAGGTGTTCAACCTGCAAGGTAGACTTTTACCTTGTAAGGCACCACCTTCTCTTCCTTCCTTAGAATTGTAGCTTGGTTGATTTGGATAATGACTGCTTGTCCCTAGTCAAAGATGAACCACAAAAAAAAAAAAATCAGTTCCACAATAATGATTAAAATTACCAAATACAAGGAAAACATGCTGCAACTTATGTCACATTCTTACAAAATAAATGTGATCACAATCTCATATAGTTAGTATGGGCAAATTTTAAAATGCACTTTACAGAAAGAAAAAAACAACAATTATATGTAAATAAATTAAAAAACACACTCATGCTTTGCTGAAAAAGGATAAGAGATCCTCCTCCACTTGTAATTGATTGGATATCACCTCCCCTGTCTTCCCTGCTCTAGTTTGTTGATAACACTTTAACTCCTATTAGTGATTAAGAAGTAACTTCTCCCTAAAATATCCATACATTATCCAGCAAAGAGTTAACGAGAATACTCAAACTTATATCAAGTAGAGTTTGTTATCTTGATCTATATGTTACAACCAGTTCTCATAACTAATTTGCTAGGAACTGTGTGGCAGCTAGATGGGAGAATATACAAATAGATCTTGGGTTAAACCTCTATACGCCACTGAGAGAAAAAAATAACACTGAAAGACTCAAGATGAGGTCTTGCCAAAGAGAAGTCCATCCAATGATTCTCTTTAATCAGCCTCAGAATCAGTCCTCTTGACCCAGTTTTCAGAGAAGTAAATCATACTCAACTGCCCTTGAAACTCCAAAACATTTACTACAAGTTGTAATTAAGATAACCTTGATGATACAGCATACACAAGAGAGCACCCACATCTAAAATATTTTTTGTATAAATGAATCCAAATATCCTTTAGGTGATGACTATTGTGCGCAATTAGTTCAAGCTTTTTTCCACCCTTTTTTGCCTTTCATCAATTGATCAATGACTTACCCTGAATAACAACGACACAATAATACAAAAATTCAGAGGACGACAAATCACTTAATATGTGAAGGGAACAGATTCACGTTAATTAGGCTTCTTGCGAGATTGCGATCATTTTCAATCACTGCATCAGTACGTACGGACCTCGATAAACCCGTAAACATCCCGAATATTTCATTACTTGTAAAGCAAGCGAACTTTGCTTTAAAATACCTAAAAAGAAGGATGAAAGGTTTTACACGAAGCTTGAAAAATCTCAACTTCTTTCAAGTAGAGATACTAACCGAGTGATGTCTCATCATCGGATGACAAGGGAATCGAAACCATCTTGGCCTCCCCTTTACCTTCTTGCTCACTACCTGACATGGTGGTGAAGATTCATGAAATTTTCACACTGAAAAACAGCAATTCCTATACAGCAAACAGATTACCGTCGTCGTTTCGACGGTAAACGACAATCTGCGCCCATAGCTCAACTGACAAGCGGTTTTCAAAACATTAGTCACCAGTCTGTTTCCACTCGTTATCCTTTCACTTCCTCTAAAATGGCGGAAGAAGGCGCATTGTATAAAGTCTCTATTTTGCTCGACGGTTATGGTTACACAGATGAGGAAAACAGATATAGAGCTAATGGAACAAGCACTTTAATCACTGGGCCTAATAACAGAATAATCGTGGACACGGGAAGCCCAAGGGATAAACAACGTCTGCTTGATAAACTGAAACACCTCGGTCATGCACCAGAAGAAGTAAACTTTGTGGTCTGCACTCACGGCCATATAGATCACGTTGGAAATTTGAACCTGTTTCCGAACGCTGTCCAAATGGTGTCTCATGATATATTGCAAGAGCAGGATTATTACGCCGATCTTCCCGAAAATTTCGACAAAGGAACACCGTATTGCATTGATGGTGAAACTGTCCAGGTTATTTCTACTCCAGGACACACGTTCTCAGATGTAAGTGTTGTGGTAAGAAGCACTGATTATGGAACAGTTATTGTCTGTGGAGATCTGTTTGAACATGAAGATGACGAGAATGTGTGGGAAGAATACAGCGAATGCCCGGAGAAACACAAAGAAAGCAGAGCTAAAGTGTTACAGATGGCGGACTGGGTTATACCTGGCCATGGGAAAATGTTTAAGGTGAACCAACCGAAACGATAAAGGGTGAAGAAAGCTAACAAGCGCGGTGGGACGGCGGGGGGGGTAGTTCCTAGTGATACAAAATAGATCAGGGGGGATGTGCTGCTGGATAGGGTTGCATTTTTCATGGCTAGATTGACTACAATAAGGTTGCATTTTCAATAGTTACTAGCTTGGGGATGCATATTTTTGGAATTTTTGGGGTAAGAAATTAGTGTTCTATTTCCAGTTTAACATATGCATCAATTTATTTTAGGATTTATTAGATTTAAATGCTTTACATGGTTTATGCATAAACGGAAAATGACTAGATTGGGATTGCAAACATTGCAATTTCCAAAAAGTGACTACAGTAAGGTCTATAATGGGCCACAGAATTGACTATAGTAGGGTAGGGGTTCTGAGAGGCCAGAGGCACATACCAAGCAAATTTGACTCAAGTACCCCTCCCCTTCCTCCCACCCCACCCTTCCTGGAGGAAAATATGGCTAGCAAGCTTGTGAAATTGGTGAAAAAAGAGGATAAAATCTTAAGGAATTTAAAGATATTAATATAAAAGTAACTAACAGTATTATGCTTGCCCTGCTTGCTAACTCCTAAGAGGTGCTTTGTGTACACAAGAGTATACTCGACTTCACTTAGATGTGTAAGATGTGCAAACAGCGTTAATTGTATGCCAAGCATACAGGAAGGTGTCATTTGAAAGATTTAGTAGACTCTTGGGATTAACTTGAAAATATATTGTCCACTTGTATCTATAATAATAATAAACTATTGTTATAACTTATTGCTATGTTGCTGAGGCTTCACTGTTTAAATTTGAGAAGAAAGTAATATGTAATCCTTCCTTCTACAGGCTTCTAAATATAGAATTCTCTTACTTTACACATGTACTCTACAAATTTTGATTTTGTTGTGAGTACCTTTGTATCAATTTAGGCTGTTTCAAATATCACCTTGTTGTGTTTTAGTCTAAAATAAATGAAATTCAGGTTTGCCAGTGATGGAAATAGGGAAATAATAATGACAAATACATAACTTGCAATATAAGAAAGCTAATTAAATGATAAACTCTCTTCACCTTAGCAGTATGTAGAAAATAGGCAATAGTGAACCATCAGGGGAGTGAAGAAATGCCAGGGGTAACCCAATATGGACCTGAAAGCAATATTTCTGGTTGCCTTTTACAATTCTTATGAGGTCAGTTTGGAGAATATGCTATTGGATCAACTAACAATCCCATAATTGGTATTATAATACATTAGCCTTACTATGAAAACTCTGATTGGTTGAGACCAAACAGTCAACCTACAATAACATGTGAAGTCAATATGGTAACCCAATATTGGTTCAAAGTCTGCCTGGTGTCCAAGCCCCTTGATCATGTAGTGTTCTCAAACTGTGCAAACTCAGACAGAAGAATCTTCTTTTGCAGACTGTTTAAAAAATGTACAATAAAACAATTGTTGAATTCAGTTTTTGCATGATATCATAAATTATTAAACCTTGTGTTTGTGTTATCTGCCTCAGCCTACAGCTTTATAACAACTCAGACCTTGGCATTGATAATTCATACGTATGATATCAAGCTCGACCCCATTCAATAATTGCTTATTTTTCTTTGTTCTCCACATTTTTCTGCTTGATATTGTTTTGACAATGTGAGGAGAAATTCTGTCTCAGTTACTGGTGGTTTCAAAGCTGTGGTGTGTGGGAATGTGCTGGTCATGTAAAAATCACCTCATTTCCAAAATGCATGATTACACAATTGACTTTCATCTTTTTCTCAGAGTCCATTATGCCTGTGTGGGAATATCAATGCGGGCTAACAATTGGTGGGGAAATTTTTCTGTGGATAGCCCATGACACGATAAGATTGTCTTAAAAATGAAGACTCTTAACCACACTTGATTAAAACTTAATTTTAGATGAAAGGTTGGTTTTTATATGCATCATTATTATTTTTTTTATATACATCAAAGCTGATGTTGAACAATTCGTAGAAACAAAGCTATGCAATGAACAGGTTTTGCAAACTTGCCCTAAAAGTTAAGGCGACTCCTTTTCCCGCTTACAGTAAGCTAATTGTAAAGCCGGAAGTCGCGAATCAAACAGAAGATGGAAGAACTAAAATGCAATTTTCTATAATTGAACTTTGATTATGAATACAATACAAAAATAAACAAAAGAATTTCACTGTTTCGTAATTTGTATAACTTAGTTCTTTAAACCTACTGCCTGAACGCGAGTAGCAATCATTTCTCTATGAAAATTTGAAATTCATTCCTTTCAACTGTTATCTAAACCACATCAGAAGCCATTCACACTGAATTTTACGATGAAAACATGAGAAATCAGGAAAAGCGTCGATTCGTCAGCTCTCTTGTTGCAGATCGAAGGTCGTAGCGACAGAAGATGTCTTCCTTTTTACAGCTTGAGCAGGGTCCGTCTTGGAAATTTTGATTTTCGGGTACAGTAATCATCTTGAAACAAAGGAAAGTAGATATCTATAAAAGTGGTGTGTTTCTTCTAGCTCTGTTCGTGCATCACTTCTCGCATTCTGTTCAAACAAACTACACAACATCGATACGTCTTGGTAAGATAAATCACGGTTTTGGCGATTTTCACGCACTAGAACAGAACTTAACAACCAGCTCGTCCATGAACCATGTTACTAGCGGCTGTATAGGGCAACTTAACGCCGTGTTCCATAAGAAAGTTTGTAAAGTCAGTACACGGGGCACAACAAGCAGCGAACGGTGAAAATATCGCATACAATACCGCAGCCAGAATTCCTAGAGGCCAGGCGAGGACAAGCAGAATGATTAGCCACACAAAAGACCAAAGCCATCCGCAATTCGCAGCCATTTTCTAACAAGAAATGAAGTACTTCGACTCAGACGGTCGGTAAATTCTCAAGAGGAGAAACTGACGAGGCGTGGAATGTAAAGAGAAACTTGATATTCTCGGTTACACCCACAAAGAAGGCTGGGCCAGCCGTGTTTTGCATACTGTACTTGCCAATATATTTGGCAAAGAACAATTGCTAACAACCAAATATTGTCACACAATCTGCTTTAGTGTTCCCTTTTTCCCTCTGGAGCCGATAATTCTCACAAAACATTCGATAATTCGCACAAAACATTCGATAATTTTCGAAACCACGGGAAGAGGCAAGGACGGCAATTGTCTTGCGACACGAAAGTAATGATCGCTGCCTTGCGGAATATAATGTTTAAGCTCACAGGCTTAGTTTACAATACAAATTTCCCTCGGGTTGACAGGAAAGAAAATTGATCTTAAAATAAACTGGTTATGTTAGAAACCTCGAATAAAGTTTTATAAAGAAAATTTCATTTTCAAAGTTTGTAATATTAGCTAGTAGATCGCGTGTCATGTGAGATGACGTCAGGTGTCAAATTAGAAGAGTCACGCAATCTTTGAAACATTTTCAACGGCACTGACTGGATTTATAGGGTAAAGGAAAAATGCTGTTATACTTGAGCTCGGGTTGTCCAGTTTTAATCAATGGGTGTAAAGTTGGGTGTAGGCACAATATTTCTTTGGAATGTACCAACCCGGGCTCCTGATAGCGTAAATTTGCGCTCCTTCCGTTGGTTAGATATTGTTATTAGCTGAAGTCTTTGGGAAGTCATTCCCGTTGAAATTTAAGGGTGTCACTTAGTGGGATACAAACTTTGGAAGCGAAATTTAATTTTCTAACACTCTGAAGTTCCATTCTGCCACGTGATTTATAGGCTGTCTTAGCTTCAAGACGCAACCACGTGTCCCGATGTCATGCAAGCCTGAAAGGACTGAAAAAAAGTCTTCGAGCGAGGTCGGTTTTGGGCGCAAAAAATGAGGAAAAAAAAATCCTGAACTGAAAAAGCTAGACTTTTGGGTTATTATTGCTAAAGGATTGGCACCTTACGAACAGAAATGCATTCACGCTAGCAGAGCCGAATGAACATCATTGAAATTGACGAATCACCGATGAACTGCCATCCGTTATATTTACTTTGTTTTGTTATTACGCGCGCCTCGATCATCGTCAAAATAGAGCACGCTAAAGCCTTGCGTCCTGTAGCCACTTTGTTTATTTCTATCATATTTAGACGTTTGCGATGCCGTCAAGGACCACTGCAACACAAAGGTCCAGAAAATCAAATTTTTAGAAAAAGTGCACGAAACTCTTGACGTGCCTCAATTTATAAAATGATACAGATTGGTGACAGCATTGGAAATAAAAGGTCGTTTGAAACCAGGTGTTATCAGTTAAATTGAATAAAAAAGGTTCAAGATGCCCAAGAAAGTGCTCTAAGTATATCAAAGAATGTGCGAAGTGTTATCAGCGCAGTGCTGTTTATGAAGATAATTTGGAAGGACTGATGGGTCAGTATCTAAGCAACTGCGCCCCCTCCCCTCCCCTCCCCTAACCCAAAAAATGGATAACAAATTAATGTTGTCAATGCTAAAGTTAATGTTGGTTAGGGGAGGGGTAGGTGTGTAGTTGCTAAGATACTAACATGATCCAAAAGAATGAGGATGTCGATCGGCTTGGACTTTTCTGATTAGTTACCAGTCCTTTCCAGGAGTTGAAAGATTAGTGACTGAAGCCGTAATTTTCCGATGGGTGTTGCATTCACCGCTATTGACGTCAAACCCGTTCAACCTAACAAAAATTTGTCGATTGTCTAAGGGTGCCATTTGCGTATCATACGAAATCTCAAGGAAAGGTGCGATATCATGAGAACTAAAACAGCCTGGGTAGTGAAGAATTCAAGCTGCGATCTATTGACAATAGGCTCCGTATCAAAGTCAACATATAGATTTATTGCTCATTATTGAGTGTTTACATAATTTGCATAGTATTCAATTCGACCGAGAGCGTTTTCTGAAGTGTCTGACGGAACATAACTCGTCCAATCGTGTTCGGAAACAAGATAATAAGTTATCACCCTTTGCATATGAAAGACCGTAAAAGTGAATGAATTTCACAAGTCTCCTAATTCCCATATCTCTGTGTTATCAGACCATCATATAACATCATTTGTTTACATATCGAGGCGTCTATAAGACTAAATATTTTCATAGTGTTGACAACTCAATTTCGACTTTAACTTCGTTTCCTCTGGTTACGATAGTAAAGAACAGAATTATCAGAAGGCCTGTAGTTTGCTCTCCAGGGAGTTTGTTATTTATGGCGCTAAATTACTAACGATTACAAGTTTGATGGTCAATTAGGCGGACTTAAAGGCGATAGAATTCAACGCGTTTCAAAGGGTCAACATGGCATGTCACATAAAAGCTCTCAAGTATTCCTAGGTGATATTGTTTCTCAGTTGACAATCACTCCATTTCGCTCGCAAGTCGAATCATCTTAATAAAACAAATTCCCCATTTTATCATTCAGCGTTTGCCATGATGGCAGGTATGAAGACCTCGTAGCTAATTTCTCCTTTTGAGCTGACATGGCCTGACGACAAAGCATCGAATTCTTCATCTGTGAGTTTCTCGCCCAACGAAGTCAGAACATGACGTAGCATACTGGACGAAATACTACCGCTTCCCTCCCGATCGAAGTGTTTGAAACAATCCACAACTTGTTCAGGACTCACACTTGATACACTTGTCATGTGCTGCGCAACGGAGTTGTAAATCGGCAAGAATTCTTCGAAAGAAACCGTCGACTTGCCAACATCTCTTTCCACTTTCTGGACTTCGCTCTGTGTGGGATTCAACCCTGTCGCTCGCAAAACCTGACCGAGTTGATTCACGTCAATTTTGTCCCCTCCTGTAGTGTCATACAGTTGGAAGATATCTTTAAGCATTCCTTCGTCCCTCAACACTGGTTTTTTGCTCATTTTGACACCGCCCGAAAAACTCTGACGCTCCTTTAGTGACGATCGGAGTTAAGAATGCCGTTTGAAGCTTACGTTAATTAGTAGCGATTCACGTGACTTGATTCAAGTGTCTGGTATTCCTTATATTAAGCACTTTACTTAGGAAAGTCTGAACTATTCATGAATAAAAATCTTGTCACGATCAATTCGCGTGCCAGTCAACTTGTGTAACTCAACACCTACACAAGGCTGGTCACGCCATTTAAAGATCTCGTTGCGAAGGAACCAGTCATCTTTTATCCGGGGGGAAGGAGTGGGGGGGTCACATGGTTTTCAGGGAGAGAGGAAGGAGACTAGTCGTCGCCAACAGAGTATAAAGGGGGACCATAGAGATGATAATTGATTGCCAACTACCAACTAACTACCAGTGAGGGGTCGGGATCAGAAGAGCCTGAGCGGGGAGGGGGGGAGAGGGGAATTAGGGGAATTAGGTAAATTTTATTGCGACACAGCAAAATCCTCCAACCCCCCTCCCCCAGACTAAAAACAATGGCCGGTCACTAAGATGTAAGAGAGACTGTAGACTCGCATGGATCATGGATGAGATGGTTTTGGTTTTGATTAAATGCTTAGTTCCGGTGTAATTTACTAAATATGTAAAGAACGCTAATTAATGCATTTAATTAAAATTATTGCCCAGAGTCCACAAATGAAAGATCAGACAACGGTGTTTCAATTATAAGGCTCGATTACCAGCCGCAATTCGTAAGATAAGCCAGTGCCCCTTCCCAGAGCTGCATCCGAGATAACGGCGGAAATAAACGAACAACTCCAAGTTCGTGTTCTCGAGTCCAGCCCTGGATCCTCTCTTCCAAAGGGCAACAGAGCTCTTATCTCGATAAGCAGCTGATAACGCAACATAGTGTGGCTCTTTTTTAGGTATTATTCCACTTTCCAGTAAATTGACGTGAATGTTCCGCTCCTTTCGATGACACCACTTTATGTAGCTTTACCGTCTTCTCGCGCGTAGGTCGGTCGACGTTTTTGAGGAATCAGTCTTTCAATACTTTTCAGTTAGTTTGAAGGTAACTGAGCCTTAAATGCAAACTGCGCAAAGAATGACCCAGAAATTATCCCTTTCCTCTACATTTTTCTCTTTCTCTTCAGAATCGGTTTCACCCCTGTTTAAAGGGCTCGAGGCCCACTGTCCAGCGGCCTTGAACATACTTAGCTCCAGTGACCAGGGGGTAAATTCTCCTTATAATATTAATGCACCACCGAGCAGAACAAAGGCGCTAAATGGTGTTAACCGTTAGCCGTAAGACTGCAAAATTAAATCAGCCGTTAGCGTAAAAATTGACAAATTTTAATCCTTGGCTCGAAAAAGAATTCAACTTATTTTTCAAGGTATTGGAAAGAAATTAACCGTTAGCCATGAAATGCCCAAAATTTTAACCGTTAGCAGGAGCAAGTAAAGCAGTGGGCTCCTGCCGTTAGCCGTAAGAGCCATCACCTCATTGACACCCTCAGATTAGTGATGACTGAATTACTAAAAAAAAAACTTTTCTAGAGGGAACTACAGCAGTAAAGCGAATAGCCGTTGAGATCTTCCGTATCAGGAAGGGCTGAACCCCAGTGGTGCCTCTTGAGTTGAGGCCCTTCCCAGATTGTATTTTTTCTTGGATGGTTCTTAACTCGCGCAGTTCCTTTCTCCATCTGGTGAAGATGGAGAGAAGATAGCTACCAAAAAAAATTTGTAAAATATACTGAAAGGTCACCTAGGATCCAAGAAAGGAAGGGTAGAGCGTAAGCTGCAACAAGACGGGAAGTTAACTTTTGTATAGTTGAACAAATGACTGAGTTCTCAGCACGTTTTTTTTTTTTTTTTAAGACTGATAACTTAAAACCTCTCTACATGTTACCACTTTGCCGCCGTCAAAAAGAATCCATACAAGAGAAAATATGAAATGGCACTTTGTGAGAAGATCAAATACACCTGAACCTCGCAAACGTACATTCTCCAAAGAGAAATCCACCTACATAGGAGAATTAGATAGTCGAATTTCCGAACAGTTTCTCAAAGCCGAAAAAATTAAGCCCGTCAGATGCGCAGGTGTGTGAACCATTTCATCTCCACTCACTCGTTGCTATTTGCTGTCACTGAGTCGGATTGCAAAATAACAGAAAAACTTATTCATTTTCCAAAAAAGTCTGAGCAGTTTTTCACCGATCCTTAACAGTTCTTAACTTTTTAAATCATAAACTGTCAAAACTGAACGAAAGTTAAGACCTGGTGCCAAATAAAATGTTCATAACAACATGTAAAATTTGACTTTGTATCATTTCACAAATAAACCTATTTATTTACATAGTTAAATTACAAATATTATAATCCTTCGCAATAAAAGCATTCTTATAACTTAAATAACCTCTTAATTCAAAATAATACCCACAGGTAATAGAGCGATTAAAAAAAAATTTAAATGATACTGTAACAGTTATTGGTGCTGAAAGTTACACAACAAAGGAAGAAACTTTCTTTGCTAAACACAAAAACAGATTTCAGCACAACACGAAATTTAAATCTTTGGCATGTTTACAGCGTAGTTTCATCACAAGAGAAAGAAAGTTCTAAAAAACTCTAAAATAACTCTATTACACCAATTTTTGCATGTAGCTTAAAAATCAGGTGCACGAGCAATAAAAATTGAACACGGATGCATGTCATTAGGAACCAGTCATAATATCGCCAGGGGAGAGAGAAGGTCGGAGAATTCTGGTGGAATCTTGCCTTGGAGAGGATCATGTAAATTTTTATTGCGACACAACCAAACTCCCCCAACCCCCCCCCCCCTCTTTCCTCGCGACGAATAATGACCAGTCCCTTATATAGATTAGAAAGGATGCTTGAGCTTTCCTATCCTTACGTATCTGCTGGTGAGTTATGACAGTCAAAAGTCACCAGTTCAGTGGTCAGTAAGATTATTGCTCTTCTCTGAAGCGCGCTTTAAAATCTAACCCCCCCTCCAGCCCCCCAAAATATCAGCTGGCCTCGTAAAAAGACAAAATCGTTTGTGACCAGGGTCCCCTGACATGGGCACGCTCCAAGGCAAGCTATTTGTGCGCTCTACAAATTGGTTCCTAACTCGCGTAGAATCTCGGACAGAGATGGTCCAATGTCAGTATTATTATCGGGAAACACAACAGCATGACCTGCGTCTTCTTGTATCTCAGCCATTAAACACGCTTCGAGATCGAAATTGAGAAGATCAAAGAGACGCGAAGTTTGCTGCTCTAGAAAGCGCGATGCATCCAGTCCTACAAAGCCTGATGTATCCGAGTCAACCTCGGGTGATGTTCGGGTTTCTGATGTAGACTCCTCGTCCGAAGATGCGTCGCTATCAGGCATCATCTCAGGTAATGAATGCGCCTCGAGATCTGAATCAAGAAGTCCTTGACAACGAGCAGAATACGCTCTTCCATCCTTATCGCTGATTGCTACTGTCCAATGTTCGTTCGAATATGCATATGATTTGTAAGCGCTATAGAAATCCTTCACCATCACTTCCTCAAAAACGCACTCCTCACTGTCTGCGTCCTGTTAGAAAATAGATAATGATTGAATTAAAATGGTTTAATTGTATTTATTCACCTATTTATTCATTTATTAGCGATATATAAACAGATTGGCCCAGTTCAGCTTCAAAGCTGGTTCACATGGGGGCCTGGATAAACAACAAGGAGGCCAGACCACAACACCGGGAGCTACGTTCTTTACTCTTTGCAAAAGTGTATGGGTTTTCTATTGTTCTAAGTTATTTTCATAAGAGATCTACGTTTTATATCTAGACTCACCGTGGCGCGAAGAGTTCCAGAATCATCGATTGTAAGAAAGAACTCGGTTTCTACTCCTGCGATTTTCACTAAGCCGGCTCCCACAGAGCATATTTCTACGATTGCTGTCAAATGGAAGAAAACACGTTAGTTAGGAACTCCGTCATCTAATTTACCTCAATTTACTTAGAGAAAAGGTAACATAACATGGAATTGACCTCTGTAGCTGATTGGACTGTTCATGCTATGGAAAATATTAGATTTGATAACGAAGTCCATCAGAGCCGCGAGTTTAAAGATGAGCAGGCGAGTTAAATGTAACTTAGGATCCTCGCTCTTCTAGAGACCGAGACAGCGACTAAGAACGAATCAGGTCCACAAGCACGGGAGAAGTTGTAAAATTATGGGACCATTCATTATTTATCGTCGGTGGGAGAGGAGGGGGTCAGAGAATAGGGGGGGATCATATTGGTTCTAAAGGGGAACGGAGGGAGGATTAGTCGTCGTCAACAGTGTCTGAAGAGAATACTAAAGAAACTGACTGCCAACTAACTGCCAAAGCGGGAGGATCAAAAGAATATCGCAGAGGCTTATGGGGAATCAGGTCAATTTCATCAAGACACAACCAAATCCCTCCTTCCCTAGCTCTCCCCTCAACTGATAAATAATGCCTGGTCGAGAAAAATCATCTGGTTAGGTAAGTGACCTTGGTCTGATGTAGACGAATTTTGACATCGCGGTAGTCTGACTTCGTTTCCGGCTTAAAATAAGCCTTACTAATATGTCCCAAAAGTTACTTGTCAACAGCTGTGATAGCAATGCTTAAGAGATCCATTGATATAAACCATTATGAGCATTTTAAAGTACTGACAGTTTTAAATTGGTTTGCATCCGAGTACAGCAGTCGATCATGCAGCAAAATGTGTACAATGAGGGTAGTCCTAGAAAGCTTACTATCGGTGCCAGTGATAGCCATATATTTCGACTATCTTAGCAACCATTCAATATTTAAATCGCCTGGGGTCGGGAGGGGGGGGGGATATTGGCTGTGTCACGGAGGGTTGTTCAATACACTTAAACCGCTACAATTCGTCAAAGGGCATGTACGGAGGGGTGTCACGATAACATTTACCTGATCCCCCTTAAGGCTTTATAATATTTCCATGATCTCTCTTCATTGGCAGTTTATAGGAAGTAAATTTTCTATAGCAGCCCTCTCACTGCTCAGTTGGCGACGACTGATCCCCTCCTATATTCTCCTTCAAAACCGCGTGATCCTCTCTCAAAATCCTCCACCCCTCCCCCCTCCCCACCCTCAGTAGTAATTCCCTCACCAAGAACGCTTTTTGTCAGTCAAATTTAATTACATTCGAATGACAAATT